ATGAGCACAGAAGAGAGAGGTGAGATAAAAATGGGATGAAAAAAAAAATACTAAAAGAATGAATGAAAATGGGCTAATAATGATTTTTTTTTTAACGTGCATGGCAGAGTTGGAACAGCAGATTTTTCTTTACACAGCGCAGAGAAGAAAAATGCTGATACAAGACAAAAGACCAGAATATTCCAAAAAGCCTCCAACATGGAAACACTTGGCTGGTGATTTGCCAAAAGGTCCAGTTAGCTACTTAGCAGTAATTGTCAAAGGGAGCCCCTCATATACAGCTTAGTGCACTCAGCAAATTGTGGAGCTCTGAACCGCACCGGGGCCGATAAACTCCAGCCGATAAGCACTGCAAAGGAACTGTTAAAGCTCTGAGATTCATTAGGATACAAGTTTCACTCAAGTTTGCAGGAGTTGGAACGTTTGCATAAAGAACTGCAGCCTCAGCAAAAAACAAATTCAACTGCTGACATCATCTAAATATTATCTGTTTCTGTGCCCATCTAGCCTGCTTGGTTTCCTGTACCTTAAACCACAGGTCCTGCAGGATCTTACCTCACCCTAAACATGTGTTGTCCAATTTGGTGTTGGGCGGGGGCGGCCACACCATCAGCAGTGAGTCTGTTGCTACACGCCAAGCATTTGATCAAAAGAGGACAGCTGTCGAAGGGAACGGCTCACCAGCCAGCGCTCCTGCATGAATGAAAAACAGGCAGACGAACATCCAGCCCCGCCATCAGCACGGTTTGATCCAGAGAAATGGTTCTGTTGATTGGTGGACAGCTGAGGCCACACACCCAAAGCCTGAAGGAATCATCAGTTTGTTCCCCACCACACACACACACACACAGCAGGAGAATTAGCAGATGGTGATGCTCAGAGGAGTGAACGGACATTTCAGGTTTTTGGCAATCTATTCAGCCTCTTTATTTCATTTATTCTGCTCATTTCCACTTTTATTTTCCTGCACACTACATTTTCACAGGAAATGCAGTCTGCAACCTTTATCATCAAAAGAGCCATTTCTGCCCTTTTGTTCGCTAAACGTGTCCAGAGCCGCAAAACTTGTTACAATTGTCATTATCAACTGGTGGCCCATGGGCCACTTTAAGTTTGTTAGAGGGGGCGTTTATGGCCAGGCGTGAAATTATAAAGCTAAAAACATCCAGTGATTGATATTTTTACATTTTAAGACAAAATAAAAGACTGGATTCCATCCATCCATTATCTTTACTCGCTTTTTGACTTTTCGGGTTGTAGGTGGTCACTGGTGCCCATATCCAGGTCGCCAGTTTACCACAGAAGACTGGATTCTTGTAAAGGAAAAAATATATGTATATTTTGCCAATTTTTTTAAATCCTAAAACAATGAACTGCACAGGCTTAAGTGTTTTATATTTTAATTGTGGAAAAACTGAGTAGAAATAAAGCATAAAGTTAGAGTATAATTTACTTTGTGTATTAGTACTAGTATCTACATATTTATAAAGGAAATGACAGGAAAACTGCTAAAATTAATCATTTTTTTGTAGATATAACATCCTATAAAATTTAGATGTTAGTTTTGGTCAAAGCTTGCAAGAGTCACAGGGACCAAAGAGCCGCAGGTTGTAGACCCCTGACCTAAACAATAAACCTACTATATTCTGATCTTTATAATGATCAAAGATCAAATATAAATAGTTCATAACTAAATAGAAGCTAGTTCATCAGATGAAGAAGTCTGCTTCTGATATTTATAATTTATTTATTATTATTATTATCATGAAACCACCCAGAGACTCATTACTGACTTCTAAAAGCTTAAAACGCATTCTTTGTGTAAAGCTTTGCCTCTTATATACCTATTCATCTCTATAGATAAGTAGATTTTTACAGAACTCGAGGAGGTCGACTTATTAAAGCCTCACCTCAGGGAAACACTTTGTCTGTGCAGAGCAGTTACCCCGATCCAATTAAGGTGCATTACTACTTGGCTGTAGCTACAATATTAAAACACATTTCTGAATTAATGGACCATGAATGATATGGTGGAAACATACACAACAATAAAACATTAACTGTTTTTTTTTAAAACTTTCACTAAAAGGAAAACAACAAAAAAGAACTGTTCTGAGCTGTTAGATCAAATGAGGTTATACAAGCATAATTTGCTCACTGAAAATTTGTGACAAGAATGACAGGAAGTGATGTAAAGTAATGAGGGAGCAGTTAAACAAGGTCACAACCAATTTAAGGTTTGACACAGTCTAATAACTGCAGCCTTTAGAGAGCAGACAGCTTCCTGAAGAGGAATAATTTAGCCTGACAGGTTGCTGAAATGTGCTGATTTAACATGATGAAATTGCAAGCGAGGGTCAAATCTTAATTTAAGATGAAAAAAAAAAAAAGTGGCAACAAAGCCAAGATAAAGCCAATTAAAATCACACATTTAAAAAAGTGGTATAATGGGACTTTGCAGAGTAATTTTACTTAAAAGTTGAAGCTATACATATATTATACATTTATTATTTTTTTAATTCATGCACATGAATAGTTTGCCATCAAACCATCTTGGAGGTCACAAACACTGAGGCCTGAAACAAGTGGACAACTTGAGCCACAGCTCAAACAGACGATGAAAAGCTAATTACCTTCCATCGTTCATCAGGAATGATTTGTTTTCTCAGCGCGAGCTCAGAGCAAACATGTAATAATGACACAGCTGCCCACCGTGTGATCAATCCCTCTGATAACCTGCAGGAAGACGGCAGCCATCAGACCCATACTTTTTCAACCAAGAGTGATGAATTTCTCTCTTCGTATTTAACGTTTAAAACCTAATTTGGTAATAAAATTAATGTGTACATTTAAATAAAACAATTTACAAATCCAATTATACAAGACAATAAACATATCAAAGATGTCAAGTATATATATATATATATATATATATATATATGTGCTACAAATAGGTGTAATGTCTTACGTCTCTCAGAGATCGTACTGTCCTCAGAGACACTGGAACTAAACTCTTCCTCCCCCCTCTTTGCTAATCTACTCCCTTCCTGGAAAGATAAGACTTTGCTTCTCCAAAAAGTCTATCAAAGTAACAGAATCTACCTCCTGCAAAGCTAATCAACTCTCAGTTCCTGTGTCAGACAAGGCAATGCCTCTGTAATCTGCATTTGCCAGTTGAACAGAACTTTGTCATACCCCAGAACAACAGGTGTGTGATCACCATGGCAACAAAGGAAGTTTGCCAGTTGGATAGAGCTTCAAACAGACCACCTGTTGTTTACCAGCATTGTGTGAAAAACCCAAATGTACATCTGTGAAAAAAAAAAAAGGTGTTTTTAAACAAGGTGTTACAGGGTGAACAAGTAGTCAATGTTTTCCCTCTAAACTTTGAGAGGAGATATCAAAATTAATTTATGCAGCTCAGTTAACACCCATTTTGCTGGTCAGAGTTGCGTTGATTGGATACAATTTGCATAGACCCCCCCCCCCCCCCCCCCCCTGAAACTCCAGGGAGGAGAATTAGTCTTAGTGGTTGTCAAAGTTTGCTTCGGGCCTCCTTCATGCCAGGCTCTGGTCCCCTCTATCTGGACATAGTCAGCTGGCTGAAATGTGGAGAAAGTCTACAAAACTCTGTCAAACACCCCGGAACGATGGTGCTGTCTAGCCGAAAGAAACGTTCTTGAGAGAATCATAACTTCCTGGGATGATGAACGCTGGCCCTTTCACCTCGTATCCATTATGGTAAGGCGAACGTCTTCTGGTAGGACAAGCCATCTTCTTCCTGATAAAAGGCACCTTTTTTTTAGGCACCTTTAAAGTTAGTTCACGAACCTCAGAAACTTACCTTAACTTTAAACATTAGTCCTAAATTTAGATAACACCTCTCAAAGTTTAAACTATTTTACATCATTCACCCTTCTGAAATACTATTGGTTATGCATTCATATTTCACACATGCCATAATTTCATACTGTTGTTTTTCTTTAAACTTACAATAGACGTTGCAGAATTGTGGCTTTAATCAACTGGGTTTTGTGTTTAATTTAAGTGAGGGGGATTACAACGTTGCCAACAATCCACCATTATTTTAATCGAGGTCATCCGCATTTATTATTTTTCATTGCACACCTGCTAAAAGGTGTACAGACCTTGCGTTACTATATCACAAGATGGGTTTTTAGAACATTTGCTCTTATCCAGACATCTTTTTTATCTTTAGGGAAGGCTTTGCATGTCCCATACAGTAGTCCCTCACTACGTTGCGGTTCAATTTTTGCGAGCTCGCTCTTTCACTGTTTTTCAAAGTACAGTAGAGTACTGTAAGATTGTACACGACCAAAAAGTAAAATAAAACTTACCGGAATTTTGTAGTTTTCTCTTAAACCTACATTGTATTGCCAATCTAAAGGACTACATTACCCAGAAAGCAAAGTTGCTTTCTGCTGAAAAGGAGGGAAAAGTTTTGATCCGATCAAAAAAAGTTTGGTCCTTACAGTATTCATAGTGACTTCAGCACTCAGTGGATGCAGAGAGCGGATCAGAACCGGACCAAGGCTGGGTAGGTCTGACGAACTGGAACTGAGCCGGACTGGAACTGAGCTGTTGTGTTCTGCAGAGCTGGTGAGTAAAAAAAGCAGTAGTACTCACTCAACTTAAAATTTAGCTTTAGTTTAGTTGATTTAAATTTATTAGTTGACCGAACTGTTTTGGTATGTCATTTCTACTTTGCAGTTTTTCACTTATTGCGGGGGTGGGTGGTGGCCCGGAACATAACTCTCCCGCAATAAACGAGGAACAACTGTATTTTTTTTTTGGCATATTGTTAAGATTTGCAAATCATTGCATTTTTGCTTTCTTTACATTTTACACAGATGTTTTTAGAATTGGATAAAATATTAATGTCGATGCTAGCATATCGGAGAACAAAAATAAATCAATAAAACAGATTTTCATTTTTATAAAACCTTTTTTTTTTATTTAGAATAAAACAAGGTACCCATATTACATGTAGTGTGGTCAATCTATTTTACATACCTCAGGAGAAGCGACACAGTTCTGCCACGGTTAAAGGTTCACCATGAGTGTAACTGTTAAAATCATCCACATCATTACGCTACAGCTGGAGGTTATCGTAGTGTTGCTCAGTCTCACGGGTTTTACAGGACAGCGTAAAAAGCACAATGACGACACAGTGAGGGACCAGTGCTCGAAAGGCCAGTGGGAAAAAAACAAACGACGAACGAAGTGACGCTCGTGGTGGGAGAATAGCTTCAGCAGGCCAACTGTGTTAAAGTTTCTTCACTTGGTAACTCCTCATTGCAGTGTGCACGAATACAGTAAGCTACAGCTGCAAATGCTAAACCGGACTGTCAATGATCACAACTAATAAACCTAAACCGTGTCTATGAGTCTGAGGTAGCAAGGCAATCATGGCTTTACTCTGATTTCTCAACAAATACCTTGAAAAAACTAATCTTCTCTACACAAGGATGACGGGCCTCTTACAAACCAGGACAAATTCAGTTTTAAATCTATATAATCTTTACACACAATCTCGATTTAATTCATCTGCTGTCTTCTTCATCTTCCACTGTTGGAATGGACTGTTTTAGGCACAGAAGGGGTTAAAGTTTGATGCTTTAAAGGGGAACCTGACATCAAGCATGCTACAGGACAGATTTCAAAAGTGACTGTACAATTTCTAAACTCTCTTGTTTTTTTATTTTAATTTTTTTTTTACAAACTGTGTCCCACTCCCTAAATGCTCGAACGTTTGTCAAATAATGCTCAAAAACAGATGATAGCAGTGGAATGATAAAAATTGTAACGTTTGATTTTCATTTGAAGGCAGAAGTCAAAAACGATTCATTTGAAACCATATTTTAACCGCACGTCTGGAAATCTAAAGGAAACAAAAACGGACATCTACAGTTGCATAGTACGAGACAAGGTGGTGAAATCTGTTCCGTTTTTTTTTTTTACTCCTGTGCGTCTTTGGGATTTCAGGACAGATTCTTGTTGTTTGGGAAGGGCGGTGCATTTTACGTGTGCAAACACAATCCATCATCTGATACTGGTCCTTACATCACCTGAAAAAACACAAACAAAAAGCAGAACAAGAACTGTCAAGACGGACAAGACAAATAAAAGTTTTACATTCCAAAACAAGAAGTAAATCATTTGTCAATACAAGGTGAACTGAACTGCAGGGACAAATGCACCCAGTAAAAGTTGCATCATGTCAGCTTGTTTTATTTGTCCTCATCAACATAGAACAGGGTAGAAAAAAAAAGAAAAGAATGATAAATGGACTCATGGACAACCAGTTTAAGCTCTTTAGGAGCAGCGAGGAGGATTGGAAGGGATGACCTCATACATTCTCCTAAAACACCGAACTTTAAACCCTATAAAAAAAAAGACGGAAAGCAAACTAACGAAAAGCCTGATATATGGTTCAAAGACAATAAATGTAAAGAATTAACGTGCCACTTGTAATTTACCACTTTTATTTATTATTTATTCAAAGCTCTAACCTCTGTGCCACCACTCCCTTGGATAGATGGATTTTTTTTCCACCTTAAAATTAATTCTGATGTTGGAAGACAAATGTAAGACTAGCAATAGAAACCAGTCGCTCCAGTGCGCCTCTGTGTCTTTTCTAACCTCACCTGCAGACCAGTAATGCCTGCTAATTAAAATATCCGTCTGCTGTACTTTTTTTACGGTGATAGCTGCACAGCTGACTCAGCCTGTCCCTTTGGTTTTCTCTTCAGTGCACCTCAGCTGATTACGAAGTCAGTAAAATATTCACATCTTTATTGTTTAACTTCTTTGCGTGTGCTTCACTGAGTTTTAACTCAAGCAGCAGGAAGAGAAGAAAGGGAGGACTGATTGGTAATTGTTCTCTGGACTGATCACTTTGTGCACCGTCATACAGGCAAGAAAAGACCTGCGTCTGATAGTTAAGCAGCAATGAATAATTAATTCTAGCAGGTTATTAATTACACAATTAATGTTAGGCATGTGTTCAGCTCCTGTGTTAGAGGACTTTGTTACACACATTGCTGGTGGCTCGGCTCGTTACCAGAAAGATCTGATTTTATGTCAGGAACAGAGTATTCAGGGTTTCCTGCTGGTCAGATAAATTAATCATGGCCACAAATGTTATCGAACATATAACACACAACACACAAAGAGCACAGAATGTCATGATTTCAGCTCTTGGCCACGCCCACTTCTCCGCTGCAGAGCAGAGACATGGCACGCTGCAGGAGAAGCTTCTCCTTCAGGTGTGGGCTGCACAAAGGTGCAGCAGGTACTAAATAATTTATTTTAAATAAAAATTCCATGCCCATCGTGCAGCTCATCAATCAATCAGCCAATTGTGTGTCATGTCCAATCTTATTTTGAAAAACCGCGATAGAACGAGTCCACCAAAAACGAACCGCGAAGTAGCGAGGGATTGTCTTACGAAAACTAAAATCAATTGTGTCGTTGGTTATACTTTTTCGAACATTAGAGCACTAATGTGGGTTAGAGAAGGTGGGCCTGTGATCGGAAGGTCACCAGTTCGACTCCCTGGACCGAAAACATCAAATTTGGTTGGAAAAGGTGAAACGCCCACACCTGCCTCCACCCTCATTTGCTGGGCCCTTGAGCAAGGCTCTTAACCCCCACCATCTGCTCTCACTAAAAACAGCTCTCTCTTGAAAATGAGTCCTCGGGACTCAACGAGACTTCTTGTATAAAGGTTAAATAAAAATAATATCCTGCTATCACTGCTTGTGTTAATAATCTTAGCTTTGAGCGCGACGTGTGCTACAATGGGAGGAATCATGATTTATCCCCCGTGTCTTCTCGACAAGAGACAAAGACGTCTGAACATAAGTAATGACAGATCCGCTGACTTACGCCTTGATCAAGTATAAACTAAGCTTTAATAATTAAAAGGAGTCAGCTTTCACATTCCCTTTGTCCTAAAATGCACCTCGGCCTCAGACTGGGAGAAGAGACGAGGCACTAATGGACCTCCCCTGGGATCCATTAGCCAGCTCTTTCTCTCAAACCATCTGATGTGTTCAGGTGAAGGCTGCATGGAGGACGCTGCTGTTTGTGGCAGCTCCTGTAAATCTCCTCTGAAACATAATGTTTGTCCAATCTCCACCAATCTTTAGAAATTACTGACACAGATATCAGACTAAACTTACAGAAAGGAGAAGAAACAAGCTGCTAACAGTGGAATTTATGTGCGACAGTGTGGAAAAACCGGGTCTTACCTGTGGTCTCGACGAGAGGCTTGAGGCTGCGGAAGACAAAACAAAACACTTTAAACTTTCTGTTCGTCTGTGCCTGCACGTTTACGTTAAACCATCAGCCTGTGGGCGTCGTCTACACTTCCATGCACACACACTCAGCTCTGCGCCGCTCTGCCTCGGAGCGGTGCAGCAACCCGAGCGTGATGACGCTGAAGCAACTGTGAGATTAGAATGGATTTTTATCTAAAGCCCTCGTTGGGAGTTTCAACTCTAAAGTCAGCAGTTCAATATTTGAGCATTTATTGTTGACGCGTTCGGTTTGATCAGCAGCCCCGAAGGTGCGTAATACTTTAAACTCAGCTACTGCGAGTAATGAGCGTCTTGATGAGAGGAGAGCAAACGAATTAAAGTAATAATAGTTCCTTTAAAGCCTTTGCTTTAGAATCACAGCTTCCATGTCATCACATTGTAAATTTAAAATATAAACATTTAAAACATGGTCATGGCTGCCGCCACACATTCAACACATGAAGATGAATGACAACATGAACTCGTGAATGAATGGAGACGGGGGGGGGGGGATCATTATTTCTCAACTGCCAACATTTCCTCTTCGTTTGTTGCTACAATACAAAATATTTGTGCTTTTATTTGAAGGACCAACCTCAGATTAAGAACCAGAAGTAAAAAGATGGAGCAGGACTCCAGTCTTCAGACTTTCTGTTGGATTTTGCAACAGTTCATTTAAGCTTGGCCTAATTTTACATCTACATGCACCAGTGCAACTTTAAATCATGCACTTTTTTATTTTCTCCGTCATTAATAGCTTATCACACAGCCGGAAGAAGCAGGCATTAGTGTTGTGCGTCTTGTGTGAACGTCAAAACAAAGAAAACACAAATTTGTTGTCACCATGACAACTGGATTCGGTCCGTGTTGTCATACACACGTGTTTGGTAGGCGGCTACCTTAAGAGCTATAAATTATATTTGCAAGAATGCAAAAAACATTCAATACAAAAACAACTGGACTTTATTTGTAACAGAAAAAGAAGAAGTCCAGTTGTTTTTGTATTGAACGTTTTTTTGAATTCATCATGTCCTGGATGACTGAGAATCTTCACCAGTATATATTTGCAAGATAAAAGATCATGTGAAACCTCTTCTCACACCATATGACGCACCATATGCGTCACCTGTAGAATGCTACAACAGCATTCGCCCCACCCTGGGCCTATGAGCAAGGCCCTTAACCCCCACCATGTGCTCCCTAAACAGGTCTCTCTTGAAAATGAGTTCTCGTGGCTCAATGAGACTAACCTGGATAAATAAAGGCTAAATTAAAATTTACTGGATAAAGAAAGAAACATGGATGTTGTGTTTTATAAGCAGAAATCATTTAATCAATATTAACTGTCAGCTCTAATTATTTTGTAAAGAGCTGCGTTTAGATTTTCTCAAGACATTTATTTGAATAAGACAAACAAGATGACTCAGACTCAACAAAATGCCATAACATTTTAACATCACTGATAAATACTTGAATAAAGTTAAACTTTAGTGCAGAGAAATTCAAAGTACTGCTTTATTTTGAAGGGTCTGATGTCAACAGAAGTCATTTTTGTTTTTTTATCAAGATGGAAACAAAAATGTTGCAGTAAAATAAAATAAGATTTAAACGAGGTTTCTAATTTTTGCTTTTATGTCAAAGTTCATGCTCAATAATCCAGGTAAAAAATCCAACAGGTCAGGTCATCTGGATGGTTTCTTTTTTTGTTGAGACATTTCCTCCTTCATCCAAAGGACTTCATCAGTCTGAGGAGTCACAAAAAACTCGGTCCCAGGATTTTGTACGTGGATTATTGAGCATGAACTTTGATGTTTTGAACCACTTTGGCCATGGCTGCCTCAGAGGAGTCGATGGGGAGAAAGTGGACTCCAGAAACTATCTTTATTTATTAACCTTTATTTAACCAGGCAAATCCCATTGAGAAAACCCACACAAGCATGAGAAGAACATGCAAACTCCACACAGAAAGACCTCAGTTCCAACCGGGGGTTGAACCCACAACCTTTTTGCTGTGAGGCAACAGTGCTAACCACTGAGCCGTCGTGCTGACATTTTATCACCAGCAAACTGGTTGACGCACTATGTGAGGGTGATGCTTGCAGGACTGAGTTTGTTGTGGCTCCTCGGACTGATGAAGTCCTTTAGATGAAGGGCGAAACGTCTCATCAAAAAAAGAAACCATCCAGATGACCTGACTGAACTTTGTTGGGTTTTAAGCCAGAAAAAAAATTGCACTTTTTTTTTTAACCTTTAATACACCTACCATGTTAGACATAAATTATTATGCAAATCAATAATCAAATAATTTGTTGATTTGTTAGAAAACAAATTAACCATTTATTCCCAAACATGGGATCAGAACCACGTTTGAGTCGAGCAGAGTTCTTGAGAACTATGAAACTTTAAAAACGATTGATCGCATCATGTTTAGCCTCAACTGTTACAAAAAGATCAAAACATAAATGGCTAAAAATTAGCAGAAAAAAACAGTCGATGACGCTCAACTTGGATTCTTATCAGCTGTATTTGTAAACTTTAACCAGCAATACTCTGAATATTTTGTGGGTCAAAGTATTAATAATTAGTAACTGAAGTTTTAAACAAAAAGTGTGAATGTTTTTTTTGCCGTTTTAGTTCTTTAGTCGTGAGGATATGCCGGATCTGTTAGACTAGGATCTGAAAATGCTGCATGGTACTTTAACACACAAAACGAGGGGCGTGAGAACAGCGACAGATGCAACAGTCCTCCTCTGTGGCGAAACACAAACATGCTGAGGCTGGGAGGACACGGCGGCAGGAGGAGGAGGAGCAGGAAACTTACGACTGCATGCAGGGAAGGAGTTGTTAATCTGCTCCATTACAGCTGCCAGGTCAGAGCTGCTGTTGTGAGGGTCCAGCAGCTCATCTGAACACACACAGGCACAGAGAGGCTGATTTACTGATGCCGGACACAATCCATCACGCTTCCACAAAGCGCAACAAGTTTCTCGTTTGGCGCGCAGTGATTGGCCCTTCCGTGTAAAAGCTGTTAAATGTAGGCGAGTTAATCGCGAGGACAGACACCGAGTGTGTGTGTGTGTCTCCAGGAGGTTGTGTCTCACCTGAGTATTCATTAAGCGGTCCTCTGTCTTGTACAGTGGGAGAGGACGCTCCGTTTACCCTCGGGTCCACCTCCGGCTGAGACGGAAGAAAATCACAAACAAGAAAAAAAACTCAGTCAATATAACGTCATTATTCTGCCTGGCAAATTCTTGACAACTTGAAAACTTGTTTCGCAGCAGGACAGGAAAAGAAAAGAAAAGAATGCACGGGGGAAGGCATTTTGAGGCGGCTGTCATTTGTACATCAAAGCCCTGCCAACACGGCAAACTGAGAATAAAAAGATACACCATGATTCCTATTCAAACCCCTGGGAGGATATTTGTCTGACAGCAACAGTAAAATAAATTCCAAGCCTCTAATCTAAAGGATTAAAATGAAAGTTATGAAACTCAGCCAAAACATTTGGCAATTGTTATTGTGCTCAAATTGAATGCAACAATATAAAAGTTTAATAGCTCTCCTTTTATATTAAAGGAAGTATTTGCTCAAAGCAGTTGAAGAAAGACGACAAACTATACAAATCAAACAGCAATGGGCTGACATAAGCAAGTTTTTAAAGAAGTTAATTTCAGTGAGAACATGTAGAGGTGCATTTTGGGTTCAAATTGTTTTACACAAAGTCAGACACAGAATATAAACACTTTGAATTCATCCCAAGTCCGGACAGTGATCTTATGTAAAAAGTGATTTTCTAATGCTCAACTGTTTGGTAACGTTCAAGACAAGCTCTTACATTCCTTTGAGCTTTTCAGCAAAAATAAAACAAAAACGTTTCTTCCTCTCTAGTGTTGTTGTCTTCGCCTCCTGCTGCTCCGAGCGCAAATAAAGGCTACAGCATCGGAGACATCCCAAAGCAACAACTGTTATCTCTCGGCAAATCTCTGAACAGCTGAGGTCAGGATTTTGTTTGGCCTCTGAGAGTGTAAATTTAACGCACTCCATCAAACCTGGTTGACTTTTTCTTTATTCTTCTCTGGCGCTTGTCAGCAGCTCCCTGCAGCTGATGGAAAGACATGCTGACATATATCGTTGGGTCTCCGAGGACTCGGATGTCAAACGACACAAGTTGTTAGTGAGGGGATGTATTTGTGCACAGAGGTAGCTGTTCATGCATTTTTATGTCTCTCAGACACTTTGCTTTAATGCTTCACAGGAGTTCTACTCTGACTGCAGGTTTACTTGTGGCTCCTAGAGTTTCTAAAACATTCAGGCTGAACTTTCCTCTATTGTGGAACCAATTTCCAATTACGGTCCGTGACGCTGACAGTTTGTCTACTTGTAAGATTAGATTAAAGATGTTCCTCTTTGATAAATCCTATAGTTAGGGTTGGATTGAGTTTCCTGAACTATCCCTTAGTTATGCTGCTATAGGCGTAGACTGCTGGAGTATAATCTGACCACATTACAAAAGGTTAAAAATAAAAACAACTGGACTTTTCTGAAGCTGAAGACGTTTTGCTTCCCATCCGGGAGAATTAATCAATTCTAAAATGTCTGGAGTGTGTGGAGTTACAAGCTTTATAGAACTGAGGCCTGGTTGTGTGCCCTGCACGACTGACATGACGTGAACCGTAAGGTCACTCCGCCCACCTGGAAATGTAACCCAGCTAACCTCTGACAAACAAACTAACAAGATAGCTGTAATGGCGGAGGTAGTGAAGCTCACATCGTTATGTGAGGCATTTCTGTCTTATCAGTAGGGATGCACCGATCCACATTTTTAACTTCCGATCCGATCCCTAAATCTAAATATTGTCTGATACTGATCCAGTTCCGATATCCTCATCATCGATTTTATATGAGGCTGTAATAATTTCCTCTCTAGTACATTTTGTACAAATATATGCATGCATGTCTAAAAAGGCAACTTGAGGTAAGTTTTATTAATGTTGGATAAGTTTTAAAGTTAGAATTAAATTCTGCTAACACAAAACACTTTTTTAAATTATTTATTTCTAGCTTTAAAGTGGATATTAAAGTGATTAATTTAAGTGATTGTTTAAAGTTATTTTATATTTTTAAATAAGGGGCAGATATAAGATTTTTCTTCTTTCTGCACTCTTTTCATTCAATGTTTTCTTTTTGATGAATTTGTTTTGTTTCTTTTAAATGAATGAATAAATGAATTAAATAAAATAAAATGTTGAATGGCTTTAAACATCTGCTAAGTTCATAACATAAACCAACAGACATGTTCCTGTTTTAGCTGTTTTTGTTTCGTTGGTATACAAAAAATACAATAGTTTTTTTACTCCTGTAGAAACTAGACCTGGACCAGTCCTTCTGTGTTTGTCTCTTTCTTGTCCTCAAATCGCAGTTAGTCAATGCAGATGGCTGCTTATTTTGAGCCTCGTTCTGCTGGAGGTTTCTTCCTGCTAAACGGAAGTTGTTACCTTCCACTGTTGCCAATGTTCAAGATGGAGAATTGCGAACAAGTGAAGATTCAACAAATATTTGCAAGCTTCCCAGGATACGCAACTAATTACACTATGCTACTATCTGATATCTCATAATCTACCTAACAAAGTCATTAGTTGGGACAACTGTTGTTAAGAACTGACACTAATAAAAATAAACTGAATTAAATGCTGAAACCTGGTGCAGAAGCTGTCGAAGGCGGTGAAGCTGCGACTCCAGCTGCTTGTTGTGTTCCTCCAGGATGTGCATGCGGGCCTCCAGTCGGCCTTTGTGCTGCCGCAGCAGCTTGGCTTCAGCTAGGAGATCAGCCTCGTTGGGGTGAGCAGAGGGGCTCTCCGACTCCCATGGGCTTCCAGCAGGGCCCCCTCTCTGACCATGCTGCTCCTTCAGCTGCTCATACTCCCTCTGCAGCATCCTGGGAGAGTTTAGATTAGACACAAGTGCCAAACCAACAAACACAGCACACTGAAGATCAGGGAAATCCCTTTTCACCACCACCAGAACACACAATGAGCAAGAATCTTCATTTCCAGCTTTATTTTCCATTGTTAAATATTACAAATATCCATTAGAAGCATAATTATTTATGAAACAGCCTCATCCTGAACACTTACAGTTAGGTTCCACCAAAAATCCTTCTCGAGTTTACCTCTGCTTTCTGCTTTCTCAGTTAATTCCTATTGATGTGGGTAGACAAACACAAAGGGCCCTCCCCTCCAAATCTCTTGCCTTCCTCCCTCCTCAGCCTCTCCATCTCAGTGCAGAAGCATAAGCTGCAGTGCTTTGCTTAAGTTGGCATTTATGAGCCTGGCAGTAAAGCTCTCCCAGCTCTCCCAGAGCGTCGGTGTATGTGTGGAATCAGTGTTAAATCACTCCAGTCGAGCTACTGGCTCTGCAAAAAGCATCTCCACAACAACAATAGATTTTGCAGCCCTTCTTTCTCTGAGGGTTTTTTTATATAATGGAAAAAGAATTGACGTTTGAGATGCAAGCATTATGGGAAATGTGTATTTGAAGCATAGTGTGCACTAAACTATAATTGCATATACAGTAGTCCCTCGCTACTTCACGGTTTGACTTTCGCAAACTCGTTCTTTTGCAGTTTTTCAAAATAAGATTGAACACAAGGTAAAAAAAAATGTATACGATACACGATTGTCAACTTTAATATTACTCACATGATTGGGACAGTACTGGATACAGTACTGTAAAAAGTTTAAAAAATTAAATACTTCAGGCAGGCGTCACCATTTTGTAGTTTTCTCTTAATAAGCCTACACTGTATTGCCACTCACAAGGACTACATTTCCCAGAAGCCAACAGTGCCCTGCCCAGAAGCCCCGTTGCCTTCTGCAGAAATACGTAGAGGGAAAGTTTTGATCTGATCTGAAAAAGTTTGGTCCTTTACAGTGACTTCGGTGCCCAGCGAATTCGGAGAGCCACATGGAACCGGACCAGAACCAGACCCCCAAACCCACGGCAAACCGGAGAGCTGCTAGCCAGCCTACTAGGGCTTCTGAGCAGGGGATGCGCTGCCGTAGGTCAGGCGCTCCCTCTGGAATTCACCAGGACTTTTTTCTTCTCTTTATCGGACCGCTCAATCGGACCACTGGTCCTGCGCCGGCCACCCAAAGGTCTGGCCCCCCACCAAAATGCGTTTCGGTACTCAAGGGCTGCACAGAACCGGAGCAGAACCAGATCTCTAGACCCAACGATGAACCTGAGAGCTGCTAGCCAGCCCACAAGGACTTCCGAGCAGGGACGTGCTGCCGTAGGTCCGGCCTCTGCTCTACCACGAGCCAGAGAACCGACCAGATCCGGTAGGGTAGGTCCGCTGAAACGGAACCAAGTCGCTGATGTTCTGCCGATTTGGTGAGTAAAATTTAGTAGCTACATATACACATGTTGTTAAAATTAGTAGGTTTGAGTTTAGAACATTGCAAGTATGTGGGAAGGGTTTATAAAGCCTTAAAATATTTATAAATACTAAAATAAATATAAAGTTGCTACTTTGTGAATTTTCACTTATTGCCCGGGGGGTCCGGAACGTAACCCCCACAATAAAGGAGGGACTACTGTACTGAAATTATATTGTTTAAATTTAAATAAAAAGCATGGCAAGATAAAGAACTCTAAATGTTTCAAAATACCACTCCATAAAACAGACGTTAGTGCAGTTTGAAATATTACTTGGCACCGAGTCGTTCTAAATATCCAATGAGCCATGACAATTCATCTTTAAAAAGTAAACCAAACACACACAGAACATTTTACACTTCTCATATCCAAAGCTTTTTTTTACCTCTGCTCCTCCTCGAGACGAGCAATGATGCGCTCCAACTCGCCTCGCTCCTCCCTCTCCACAGCCTGTAGTATCTGAGTAGGACTCTGGGGCTGGCTGCATGGGGAGCTCTCTCCTCCCAGCGTCTGGCAGTACTGAATAATCAGGGCGTGCTCGTCATCCCTGTTAAAAGTGCAGAAAAAGTGATGAGCGAGGACTCAGACACGGTGTCCCTGTCAGTTAGTTCACTCACCGTCTGTTGAATTAGAGAGCAGCAGTTAAACAATGGACTTGAATGAGTTAAAGCTAAAGAACTGCTGTGTCAAACTCGTCTCTGCTGAATGAAAGTCTTGTTAATTATACTACCATCACGAACACAAACATACAAACTGGTAATGACACTGGTGCCAAGATGATAATTTTCCAGACAGCACTGGAGTTGTATTAATCCAAGTCACTATGTTTGAGTTAGTTTGCATCAGTGTCACTCTTCTTGCCTATTTAAACATTTATTTTTAGGAAATTAGAATAAATCAGTTTTGTTTTACGGTCCTTAGTGAACACTGATGCCAGCTTTTTTTTTGTTTTTTTGAACCAGCACATTTAAAACAGACATAAATGTTTGAAATAAAACACAGCTTGGCCCTTTGCATGCATGAGTTTGAAGTGGTAATAATTTTAGATTCAACTGGTACAACATGTCAAAAGCTGGGAACTAAAAGGAGACAGATTGGCGAAAGGACGAACAGAGCTTTTTTAAAAAAACAAAACAAAAACAAACTGAAATTAGACAGACAAGTTAAATATTTCCATTGTGGACAGCTGACAGTGAAAATAAATCAGTGTAGTGTTTTTAACTTTTAAAATAACTTAATTATCAAGGCATCAGGACAGGTTAGTTAAATCAAAGGATTTCATAACTATCTACATGAACAATATTTTATAAGCTAACCCCATAGATTTTGAATTACATGACTTTTTTTTTAAACAAAGTATTTTTATTAAGTTTTACCTTGGCATATTTAGTTAATGTCTAAAACCCACTCATTGTTTTCCTTTTCTATTCTAAAAAAAACAATGATCGATAAATTGAATTTAAAGAAAAATCCTTATTTTCTTCAAAAGTTATTGACCTGCATTTCTCCAAAAGGAGTGCCGTTCCTCCTGTTGGTGCACATTTCTGACTACAAGACCCAATGTGAGGCTGGCAAAAATATTCACATGCATTTTCAAACTCTGTGGTTTTCTGTGAAACATTAGGAAACTTAGAAAACAACAAAATTTGAGGCTCAAATTTTAATCACAATTTCAGAATTGATTATCATCTGAAGATAACACACACACAAATGTTTAAATGATAGCAATGTTGTTTTCATTTCGGTTTTATGTCTAATATTATGAGGCACATGCAGAACATTCTACTTTAATACAAGTTTAGACGTTACAGTGGTGAACCATGACCATTAGAGCAGGGCCTTCAGCTTGGACAAAATATAGTCATGCTGATGATTACCGTATTTTCCGCCGTGCACGTCGCACCGCCCTATAAGTTGCATCAGTCCAAATACATCTAATAAAGTGGAAAAATGCATAAAAATGTCGCTTTGCCGTATACATCACATCTATTATGCGTCACCGCTCACAACCCGGAAATGTGGGCCGGTGTTGTGCCAAAAATCGATTGGCTGCCAAATGGCGGCCGCGGGAGCGTGCACGAGAGGACTTTAACAAGAGTAACACTTAAAAACAATTATTTGTTTGCTCATAATTATAGTAAATGTGTGTTTCAGTCTAACTTCTCCTTAATAAATGCACTTTGACAGTCAAATCAGCTGCATTTTCAAAAGCTAATACACAGAAGTAAGCATGTGCACGGTAGGACTCACTGTGCATTTCTTCGAAATTTAACAAGATCAGAGTCAGAGTCAGAGTCAGAGTCAGAGTTTCTTTATTGTCATTCGCACCTCATGTGGTACATGTGGTGGAGCGAAATTATGTACACAGGGTCCCAGTTACATCCAACAATAAAATGTATAAGAAAAACAGTAATAACATCTAAGATATGAACTAAGAAAAACATCAACTAAATATACACTAAGCACTCATAACATAAAACATTGAACATCAGCACAAACATGAACATGAGTCTGTGAGCAGATGTGCACGCATGAACACATCAACATTGAAACAGATCAGCAGCAACATGAAACAGATCAGCAGCAACATGATATGGTTTTTCACAGTGATTATTCTAGTTAGAGATGACCACCTAAAAACAATTATTTGTTTGCTCGACATTATAGCAAAGGTGTGTCTCAGTTGAACTTTTACTTCATAAATGCACTTCAATGGTCAAATTAGCTGCATTTTGCTGGGGCGGTGCGGCAAAATGAAGTCGATTTGAACTAATTTGATTAATTCGAATTTAAATGAACTAATAACTAAGTTGAACTAATTTGATATTTAAGATGTTTAACTATGGCTTGACTGCTACACCAAACTCTACACGTTCCCTAGTGGGACACAGATGTCAGTCTGTGCTGTTTGCTCACAGAAACAAGTGAGAACTCGGAGATGTTGGGAGCAGGGCAGAGACAGAGGTTGGCAGACAGATGAAAAGATGTGGAAGGAAAGAGGGAGAAACGGCTGCTGACACGCTGCGGTATGAGCATTCAGCTGGACGTCTTTTTATGTGTCGTCTAAATGATAAAGGCAGGTCCTAGTGAAGCCCAGCTGTCAGCTTCATTCTGAAGCACAGCTCGCCGTCGACACCAACACTTGACAACCACACTTAAAGGGAAAAAAGATGGCTGACTTTTCAAATGATATATTCATCCGTTAAAAGGAACTCTTCTGACAGCAAGTTTGACAAGTTGAAATAAAGTTTGGTTGAAAAACTTTGGCAGTGTTGTAGCTCTACGTGTTGGAACGGTGTTCCAGCTGTTTTCCTGACCTTTTAAAGACATCTTAATGAACAATTCTTTAATGCTACCTTCCATACATTAATTACTGATTTCAAAGGACACTAGTAAGGATGCACAATATTATCTGCATGGTATCCGTATCGACCGATATTGGCGATAAAGTTAAATATCGGACATCGGCCATTCCATCAAAATAACTCACCGATATAAAAGGTGCTGTTTATATGTGTGTGTGTGTGTGTGTATATATATATATATGTATATAAATAAAAGGTGCTGTTTTTGTATGACAACCCAGTGACAAGGATGCCTGCTGCGCTAACACATTATTTATAACGTCACGTGCGCTGTTTAAATTTGTGAAAATTTACAAATTTGCACAGTTCGAGTGTTGTTATTGTGTTAGAGTAAATGTCATGAATAAATTTGACATTAAACATAATCCAAGTTGAAGTGTTGCATCATTTTCAGCACCCTTTTTGGCATCTGCACTTGGTAGCAGGTCAAATTGACAAAGACCATGCAGAATAATGTAGTATTTTAATTCCACAGCAGAGAAAGATATGTAGTCTCTGTAAGTAGGTCTAGGGGGGAAAAATATTGGTATCGGTTATCTGCCAAATTAGTTTTAACATATCGCATATAGGCAAAAAATCGTGCATCCCTAAACACCAGTATATAAAAGCTTGCGTTTTCTCCTTCATTTATTGTCAGTAGTTGTACTATTATGGTCTTGCTTTACTAATAAAATCAGTAGTTTAGATGCAAATTGTACAACACCACAGGAACAGACAAGACAATAATATAAAAACATTACAAGCCATTTTAATCAGAGATGCACTAAAGAGAGAACACTTGAGCACAAGTTATAATTCATCACTGCCCAGAAAGCAGCAGGATAATTTAATCTGGACACGGTGCAATTATTCCAGTATTCACTTTGGGTTTCTTTCAAAAATAGATGTGATAAACACCAGTTTTGATTTTGAACATGACTGCTTGTTTTTCTTGTTAAATATTTCAATTGTTTAATATATTGTACTAAACATAGTATCACTCTTACAGTGTTGGAGCAATGATGTGTGAGGATATTACAGTAATGACCAAAACAAATGGTTTAAAGAAAAGTAGACTTAAAAAATAAAAACTTTCACTTGACTCATGTTCAGGGAGATTTTCTGGCTTGGCTATAAAAAAATAACTTTTATGAACTCGTTGAACTTTTTGCCTTAGTGTGATAAGAGTTCAGAGCAGTTTTTCAAAAGGCCTACTCAATTGTTTGTGTACTTTTGCTTAAATTATGTGCAGCACAGTTGTAAAATTACTTTTTAGACAAAAAAAACATATATTTTTTAACCCATTTTGGGGTTTTTTTTCCAGTAGTTTCTTGCTTTTTTAAAAATGTTCTAAACTTTATTTGACATCTACTGCCATTTTAAAAGATCTAGCCTTTATATTCCATAAAATACTGAAATTCTGAAAGTCTAGATTTAGAATGACAAAGAAAACAGAGATAGAAAGTTAAGATTGTTACACAGCTGCTGCTGCAACAAGAAGAAATCCTAACACACAAATCTTTTATTCTGCAATATGCCCTGACAAAACAAACAAGGATGATGAAAAAAGGCTCCTGGAGAGAAAGCCTGAGAACTGGTGCCAGTGTCGTTTTCTGGGGGTTAGGGATGGAGCGTCCTGTAAACACGGAGTAACCAATTAGGCGGGTTCATGGTAACTCGGGGACAGGCAGGAGAATCCAGACGACAGCATGAGGGGATCATTATAAGTGAAAATGGGAACAGTAGGAGGTAGGGATGTATGAAAACCTTCACCTAGGAGATAGTGACGGAGAAAATACTGGAGTCAGAACAAGAATCTGAGAGAAATGATGCTGGAAGGGAGCAAGAGGAGGGAGGACGAGACGAATTAAATGTAAATAATGGTGAGGCTATAAGCTGTATAAGCTATAGCTGCAAGTTTATAGTGTTGTGCTTGGTGAGGGTGGGTGCCTGAGGGGACTTTGTAAAGTTTTAACCCAACAACAATAGTTTCCAGCTTTCATTTCCAGCTATCACAAAGAAAAGAGCTCACCTTAAGCTGAACTGCTTTATCAGTTGCCTAGAATAAGCTCAAAAGAAAAGAAAAAAAACGGACATTAAAAAAAAAACACAGGAAAGCAGGAATAAAAAGAAAGCCAAGAATATGGGGTAAACTTAGGAGATGATGAAAATAGCATTAAGCCAAAACACCGCTCTTTGTGTG